CGAAAGTCAAGGTCCTGAGTCCACAGAACCAGCCTGAATCTGTCGGCATATGCCAAATGTATTCTAAGAAACAGGAAGAGTAGCAATCCAGTGATATGGCGCTTGACAAACCTGCGCGCAGAAACCAGAAATAGACCGACAACTCATTAAAAGCAACCTAGAGTCGGCAGCCACCAAGTGCTGTGCAAGAGCATCGAGCAGGGATACGAAGTTGGATGCCACATATCCAGCACTGTGGCAATGTCGAAGCGCAAGGAGCTTTCCAACCTGACATATTTTGATGGGTTGGCTGAGAGTCATGCTTCTGACTTGAAATTCATGCATTGGTGTCAGCAAAGTCTAGACTCAGAGCCCCTTGCTGCCAAGCCAAACGTCCTGGGATAGACCTGGGACGCCTTCATTGCTGGTCCACCTCGCCAGCGTCCGTTCTCGTCCATTTCGCCCAATTTTTCGGTTGCAATGGATAGGAACCTGATTGGGCGCGAGTTTTGTGGTTCACCTACATACCATCAGTGAATTTGTCTCCACACAAGAACAAACAGTGTCCAAAACTCCTTGTTAGACGACACACCACCCCCCCCCCCCCCCCAACCAGGTCTGCGCAAAACTTACTATCACCGAGCCGGAAGCGAGGATTCAAGCATTGGGTGCCGGGATAGATATTCGAGGCCCTTCAATATCATTGAATCGCTGCCAATCAGTTTCGTGGGCTTCCTTGCAAAGCCAGGACACTAAGGAAAAAACAAAAACTGAACGGCCAAGTGGTACATGACACACTTACAGAAAACAAGAGGCACTGCGATATGTGCGAAAGCACCCATATTCATATTGATGCCACTGTTGCGGATGTGGCAATGGTCCATAGCTTCCTCAATTTGCAGTACACATGATGCACTGCGGAAGCACAAAAACAAACACTATCGACCACGTTCATGCAATGTGCATCCCAGGCACCAGCATCCGTGGGGCCTTGAAGATAAGCGACCCTCCGGGGTTTTCGAGCACTGAGAAAACCCCGGCATTGTAACAGTATATGAGGCAGTCCGCCTCAAACTCCTCAGCAGCACGGACAGACAGTGAGCACACTCACACAGAATCTAAGAAGCAATCATGTCATACAATTCGTGACAAGCAGCCATGACCGCATTGCCAATCCTCACACACAACCGGGAGGTGTCCCCCATGATGTCGAGATGCCTTTTCCTGAGTGGGAGCACAAGAGCTTTCGAGCTAGCGGAACCGTGACAAGCTTGAATAACTTCTTTGCAGCTTAAGTCTCGTGACAGCAAGAGGAGCCGCCACCCAACTCGAGCACACGGGATCTGAAAAGCGAAGCGCACCCTTCTTCAAGCATGCCATTTTCCGAAGGCCTCAGATATGACATCCCCGCCACAGAATATTGTATATTGCTTAGGTGAGTTTCTTGCTAAGCAATCTTCGCAACTTTGCAAACCTGCCACTAAAACTATGTCTTCAAGACACAGTTGGCACGGCCGCATCGATTTGTCACATCCTCCCACAAGGAATACTTGAAGTCAAAGTCAGTTGAAAGGAGCCCCTCCTCAGCACAAGGTGGCGAAATCTTTCACAAAATAGAAACAAATTTAGCAAAGATGGAGCTAGCAGGCAGTTAAAACAAGACGAGTCACCCGATCCACAGCGCGAACGAGATTCCCGTGACCACTATAGACTTCCATGAAGTCTATAAATCTATGCGGCGAAGGCGACGAAGCCATGTAAGATTCTTGGAGGACGAAAGGGCATTCCTCCTGGACCAACCTTTGGAAGCCAGGTGACAGGCCCTGCATAGAAACCATGGCCACTGAGCAAAGCTACGCAAGTATTCGATTCAACAGAAGAAGTCTCGAATCAGCACAGTGTCCCCTGTGCATTCCTAAGCGATTGCTAGCTGAATTGAACACAGTGTCACATTTGCACTGCTGTGTTACACAATTTTTGACAGTACCCGAACTCACGAGCTGCGGCATGGGTGGCCATAACCCAAGTTGAAGTGGCACGCAGATATGCAGCCAGCATGCATTCTGAGACAGAATGCTTACGGAAACCATTGACTAGAAGCTCTAACAACCCCATCTTTAAACCCTAAAAACCCCTAAAATCCCTGGTGCTTGCGAGGAGCATCTCCGAAGTAAGTCAAAAATCGTCGTCAGTGGATTCTGGTTTCTGGGCTTCGGGCTCTGCAGGGTTTAGGGTTTTAGGGTTTCGGGAGTTGGCTTACGGGCAGTTGCTGTGCAGTTGCTTGACTCTCAGCAACTCTCGAGAGACGTCGCCAACGTTCAGGGAGTAAATGGATGCAACATCCTTGCCCCGCATAACCCAGAAACATGACGAGAAAGGTAGACCCAAGTGGCCAAAGTGTGGTCCTGTCGCCAAGCGGGGGGTTTACGGTTTTAGGCCCCTATGATAAGGGGGGCTCCTACTATTTCGGGGTCTATACTATTCGGGTCCTACTATCGTAAACCCCCAAGCAAATGATAACCCGATGTGCCCTCGGCTTGAGACCTTCCGCCGTGTTAGTGCAGGTGAAGCGCGACCACTGTCCATGTGTCGTCGGAAGCCTCCGGCCCAGCCTGACGGTTTAGGGTTTAGGGTTTAGGGTTTAGGGTTTAGGGTTTAGGGTTCAGGGATTAGGCTTATTTTTGGGGCTCGGGGACCACTTTGCTTGCTTCGGTCAGCTTCGGGATCTCTAAGCCTCAAAGAAGGTTGAAAAAAAGACAAGACGTTGCGAGTTCGCCATGGCCAGCTGAGACATCGCAAAAGCTCAGCTGTATGAAGGAGAGCACGGCGAAGCGCCGCTTCAAAGCGGCCGCCAGAAAAAAAACTTCGTTTTGGGTGGCCTCGAGCCACTCCGCATGGTATGTCATGGCCCAAAGCTAGGTAGCACAGTGGGCAGGCGCAAGCCTAGTAGAATTCTCATCGGATATATATATATATATATACAACTAAGAATCTAAGAATCCTAATAGTACTGATAAATAAATATAAATATAAATATAAATATATATATATATATATGTATATATATATATGTATATATATATATATACCTATATATATATATATATATATAAATTAGAAAAGTATATACATGTGTGTTTATTCAGATTAAGAAATGTGAAATGTGCCCAGGAGCCTCTGGGAGAATCGTAGCAGGAGCCGCCCTTGGCGACGGCGTCGGCGTCGCCAGTGGCGAAGCTAAGGCCTGTCGGGGTCGGGCTCTGGGGCTTCTAAGGCTCAGGGCATGTGTAATATATGCATGTGTATATATATATATATAAATATGGAGCATGTATATGTATATATATACATATGTATACTGATCTTGATTTTGCATATAAGGTTCAGGGTTTAGGTTTTAGGATTCAAAAATTGCACGGGGCCTCTGCGTAAACATCTAACAGCAAGCAAAGCCGCCCCAAAAGCCCCAAACCAACTCAAGCCCCAAAAAACTCCGCGGATTCCTTAATCCTAAACCCTAAACCCTAAACCCTAAACCCTAAACCCTACTCCCCGGCACAGAGCACGAAGCTCTTCGACCTCGAAGTGGTTGCCCCGAAGGCGGGGAATGGCCTGAGAGCCCCCCAAAGAGAAGCGGCTGAGGGCCCCCTTGCAGGCCTCTGGGTAGGTTTAGGGTTTAGGGTTTAGGGTTTAGGGTTTCGGGTTTAGGGTTTCGGGTTTAGGGTTAACCTACTTTATCTTGAAATTAACAGGCCTAGAAGATTGCTCTTAAGGGCTTTAGAGAAATGACCGATGAAAAACCTGTAGGTGAACGCAAAGGCTTGCCCAAGGCACCCCGCACCAACAACCTACGATCACGGCGCGGCCGCGTGTAGTGCAACTTCCTTCATACAGTACTTGAAGCTTCATGGGCAGTTCTAAGTGGGGTTGTAAGTAGGGCAACTAAAGTCATATCCGTCTATATTAAGGGGTACTTATGACCTTACTTATAACTACCCATGAACCTCCAAGTAAACACAGGCGCCCCTAATTTTGTGGGAAGCCGCCACGCTTACCTTCTTGACTCAGATCCTATTAGAAACGACCCGAAGCCCACTCAGCGTTGACAGTTCAACAAAAAGAGACGCTGCACGCACGGGATGCCAAGAGCTTGAGCGCACAAATGCCTAATGCCTATATATTGGCCCTGAGGCCCAAGCTGCTATGAGAACGCTTGGAAAGCCTCTGAACCAACTGGCACTTAGTCTATTGGTAGGTAAGGAGGGAATTAGCCACCTTGTATCCCCCTACAGATGTACACATACCCTTTAACCCTAAACCCTAAACCCTAAACCCTAAACCCTAAACCCTAAACCCTAAACCCTAAACCCTAACCCCGTTCAGGGATTATATAGGGTAAGCTCGAACATCGCAAAGGGAGGCTCAGTCTCCCGCCACTCTCCGGGGAGCGACTGCCTGCACCTGGAGGCTTTTGACATCTTGAGGTTTTTTTGTGGGGTTTAGGGTTTAGGGTTTAGGGTTTAGGGTTTAGGGTTTAGGGTTTAGGGTTTAGGGTTTAGGGTTTAGGGTTATCCGACAAGACCACTGCGGAGCAGTGGAGACACAAAGCAGAACGTCGCCTCACACATGTTTTCCCGGGCGTGGCTTGCCTCACTAAGTGCGAGCTATGTGCCGGAAGAAAGCGATGCTAAGGAGCTTATGTCTCCAACAACAACTCATTTATACGATGAAACCCCATATCAACATGAACAAACTCAAAAACACACGCTGGGTGCGCAGTCAAGTCAATCACGCCAGCTTCTCAACTCACAACGCATGTGTCATCGCCCGCATTCCCTTCGTGATCATCTGGATCGTAGTCAGGCTTGGGGTGTGCCAGCGTGTCTGCACCTGTCACCCTCATTTCCCTGCCGTCTCCATCTTTGTCTGTGATCACGTATACATGATCACGGACCTCTTCAACATTCCAGCGTTCATCACTCACGCTGAACGGAACATAGAAGTCTGCCTTGTCATCGTTGTCATCTGTTTCTGTCCTTGTCATCTGTTTCTGTCCCGTAATTATTTTCCAGGATGTCGGACTTGGAATTTTGCCAGGGATCTAAGTCAGTGACATAAATGCCTTCTCCACCAGCTGCGTCGATCATGTCAACCTCCTCCGTAGGACGTAGTGTGCCACTCTCATTGATTCCATCAGCCCCTTCCTCGTTGGTGTAATGAAAGAAAGGTCCCTGTCTGTCCTCCTTGTCGCTGCGGCTGTCGGCTGTGGCTCTCATCTGCTTGCGGGGTGCCGGTGCCCTCGAACGGCTGACACCTGACACAGCCATCGCAAAGACGCCAGCAGAGACAGAGCTTGAGAATGGCGTGGTCAAACTCTTCGTCCTACTGCCGCCGCAAGCGCTCAAGATTGTTGGAGGCGAGCCAGGCACGGCACTCCGCATGGCACCTGTTCCCACTAGCATTGGCATGTCAGATCGGTTGGCTGAACACTGAACACTCTCAGCGTCACAGCTGCGGCAAGACGGAAGACTGCATAATCATCAGAGCTTTCCGTCAACATGCACCATGCACTGTGAAAGGCTGCAGGGTTTTACAGGGAGTACAGGGTTGCTTGGAGGTTCATGGGTACTTAAGCAGGGGAACAATGGTTACCATGACCTTACTTAGGGTACTTACAGCCCCACTATGTAAACGCGCCCATGAATCTTCTCAAGTACAGGGTAAATCAGGTCATACACCTTCAAAAGACCCTGAACCCTAAACCCTAACCCTAAGCCCTAAACCCTAAACCCCAAACCCCAAACCCCCCCAAGCCACGTACTCTTCGGCTCTCATGTGTCTCAGGCACCCCGCCTCCACCTGCACCTTCTTTGGGGCAGCAGGGGCATGGCATTTACGCCATAGAAGTCCTCCGCTTCCAGGCTTCGCTACGTGGCGCCTGATGTAGGAGCCTGAAGAATTAGAACAGGGTTCTAAGGGGGGGTTGTTAGAGTATATTAAGAAAGGGACCATAAAGATAATATTAGACTTATTAGATATTATTCCGACCGCTATATCACAGATGCTGCATTGTAGCCCAAGAACCCCCAAAGCCTGCTTGATGGTTGGTTGTAGCACTACAGCACTCTTCGCGGATGTGATCCTAAGGGGTACTGCAACAACCGTGGTTGCAGGATCTCAGGGCTTGTGGAAGGGCCCACAGGAGATCTTCAGTCTGCGACTTGCTTGCCATGAGCACTTTGCTGGGATCCCCATAACGAGGATGGCCCTTAAAGCCATTGCAAGTCATTACAAGCTACTACCAAAGACCCTGAACCCGACAACCTAAGTCCCTAAACCACAAACCCTAAGCCCTGCCCTATAGAGCCTAAACAGCAAACCCTGTAGTGAAAGGGGGGGGGGGGGGGGGGGTGAGATCATGGGCTGAGGATGTGCCGCAGGACCGAGAGCTTTGCGATTCGTGGCTATGAGGTGTAGTCAAATCCTCACGTGCTAGAGCTGTCGGGACATGGGGGCGGGGGCGTCCTTTCGGCCAATTGCGAAGCAGCGCGCAGCGCCGCAGGCACAGCACCTGAGCAACGTCAAACAACCTTTCCAGAATCTGGGTGTGCCCCTTGGGCGGATGTAGTCTCTAAACCCTAAACCCTAAACCCTAAACCCTAAACCCTAAACCTTCGACCCTCAACCCTAAACCCCAAACCCTTATCTAGGGCATTTTGGTGTCCAAGACCTTGGGGGTGATGAAAGCTTCATGGTTCAAAGGCCGAGTAAGAGGCCACTACCAGTTCATGGTTGGGATAATGTTAAAGATTTAAATTGTCATTCCTTATTGGGTTTAAGTACCCTTAGAAATGTAAAATGTTACCCAACTATGACCAAGATTGGGGGGGGGGGGGGGGCTGTGAGGTTTTGAGCGTTTCGCTTCCAGAGCTCCTTCGGTCGCAAGACATCCGAACCCTAAAGCCCTTTCAGACCCTTTTAAACCCCTAAAACCCCCAAAAACCGTTTTAAACCCCTAAAACCCCTAAAACCCATTAAATTCCTAAACTCACTGGGCTTCCACACGAGGACCAGCAGTAGCAGCGCGTGGACACCTAGTTCATGGTTGGGATAATATTAGAATTTTATATTGTTATTCCTTGTTTGGGTTTAAGTACCCTTAAAAATCTATATGCTTATTCCTTATTGGGTTTAAGTACCCTTAAACATTTATATGTTTGGGTTTAAGTACCCTGAAAAATTTAAAATGTTACCCAACTATGACCAAGACACTGGCCCGGCCAAGCACCGGCGCGCACGTCGGGAGCTGCCAGGGGAAGGCACCTCACCAAGGGAAGGGTTTAGGCTTTAGGGTTTAGGGTTTAGGGTTTAGGGGTTAGGGTTTAGGGTTTAGGGTTTAGGGTTTAGGGTTTAGGGTTGAGGGTTGAGGGTTTAGGGTTTCGGGTTTAGGGTTTAGGGTTTGGGGTTTAGGGCTTAGGGGAAATGAGTCCGCGATCGAATTCCACCATCATACAGCCTACTGGCTATACACACACACACGTACAATTGCAAACATGTTTGTATAGAAGCACATGTATTTCCTTATTTTGCTTATTGTAGAATGGAGTGTGTTCAGTCGAGGGGTGCGGGAGCTGTTTAGGAGGGAGAGGGGTGGCAATGAAAAGTCTCTGAACCTCGAAGCTCCGTGGATGTGTGGCTCTAGGGGGCTTAGGGTTCAGGGCTTGGGTATAGGGTATATGACGCACACGAATCAGACCTTGATGTTGACTCTGAGCCACCGAGTTGTAGGTTGCGTGAGCCGGTGGTGCTGTCATGTTGTTTCAAAGGTTCAAAGGCTCGGGAGTATCATTGTTGAGGGGTCTGACGATGGTCTTTATTCTCCTCTAGCACGTCGCATGTCCATATCTTCCGGGATCAAAAGCAGGATGGTCTTTGCTTTGTACCTGCTGGGATTGAAGCAGCCAAAAAAAAAGTTCGCCAGCCAGGAATCGGTAGCTTCAAGTCGGTTTAGGCTCACATGTTTGTCAGTGACGCCATCAGTAGGCTCCTTAGTAGCTTGGGCCTGTTTCGCACTTCTGCTTGGTTTCCGGGGTGCGGTAGGGTGGGGTCAGGCTACCGCGCCATCACCCCATGTTGCAGTTGAGCTGCACTCTGGGGCAGGCATTGCGCCCGCCGTCCGGAAGTGATGCTACAGTAATGCTGATAAAAGCGCCCCTAAGTCCTCGCGTGAAATGTCTGCTCACATGCCCTCCTCTAGTCTACGAGCATATCATCATGTGATCTGCTTGTCCGTAGTGCACATGGTTTAGGCTTCAGAACGTTCCGTCCGCGTGGCTCAAGAGAACGAAGACCCACTTAGACCTACTTGGGACGAAAGATGACAAGCCCAGGCCACCGAAGCTCGAAGCGAAAGCTGACTTCACGTAGCCTTCCGACACCCTCCATCATGCAATCCGAAGCTCTAACACCCTCATCTCAAAACTGAACGTACATCCTTAAGTATGAAGTAAACCTTCAATGAGGCTACTACCCTCCCTCAGCTGAGCATCGTGGCTTCGGATGCGCAAGGCTTCGTGTGGCTTCAGGGCGCTGGGCTTTAGGGTGGGTATGGGTGGGGTTTAGGGTTTAGGGTTTAGGGTTCAGGGTTTAGGGTTTAGGGTTGAGGGTTGAGGGTTTAGGGTTTAGGGTTTAATTAGGGTTGAGGGTTGAGGGTTTAGGGTTTCGGGCTTACGCCCTGAACCCCTTACAGGGTGAGGACGAGAGGCAGTGCCCGAACCACATCCTCAGAAAGTTCTTTCTCCAGAGCTCAGCAGCAACCCGAAATTGCCCTTCTCCCTGTGGAGACCTGTCCTCAAGACCATCGAGGTCATCTTCAGCGCTTTATAAGCCCAACCGCTCCACCCAAGTTCAGTGTCTTATAGTAACAGCATCGACAAACCAACCCTAAGCTCGATAAACAAAAAAAAACAGAACAAATAAAGAGGTGAGGACCTGGGAAAGGCTGCAGCAAGTGTGGCCCCTCTCTTGAAACTCCACTTCCAACGCCCTGCAGCTTTTGCTGGCCATTCGCTAGGGCAGCTAGGTCGAGGGTTCAGGATTTGGGGCTGAGGGTAGGTTTCGGAGCGCGAAGCTTGTGTGGTTGATTAGAAAACTCTGCCCCTAAACCCTAAACCCTAAACCCTAAACCCTCAAAATGCTACATTCAGAGCCCTCGCCTGAACCCTTCGGGCCTTGGCAACCAACGTCTTGGGAGTCGGAAGCCTGGCACAGCGGCAGCAGTTCTTCAAAGTCGTGGATTTATCTGGCTGGTTCTTAGTAGGGAATGAGGGAATGAGGTACCCTATACAATCCCTTAAAGGGTATTGTTGAATGTCCAGACCCTCCACGAGCCCTTTGCCCAGGTGCTTCGCTTCTTCTTTTCCGACTTGTGGTTCAAAGGCATGCAGCACGAGCACATAACCCGAACATGCTTGAAGCACTCAGTAGGGATGTGCTAGGAAGGGGCTGCATGCACCACAAACACATAGCTTTCAAGAAAGATTTGTAAGTCTGGCTTTGTATAGCACTTGTCAGCTTGCTTTTGTTCTTTCTTCTCTTCTGAGTCCGAGCGTGTTCGCTAGCTGAGAGAAAAGCCATAGGCCGCTCTGCGCTGTGCAGTCTGGGAGACTTTGGGCGATTGGAGTTTCGGAGGTTTTCTTCGGCAAAGAATACAAGGTTCGAGATTTCGGAGGAGGACTCAGTCCACATCGAAGGGGTGCTCTTCGCTGGGGACCTGTTTGAGCCATCAACAGGTTATGAGTGCCCAATCCGCTTCGGCGGTGCGGGGCTCCGCTACAGGGCCTCTGATGAATGGTCGCGGGCACCAGTCGTCGGTGGCGCCAAGCTATGGGGCTGCTTCTGAAGCTGGGTCTACAAGTGGTGTGGGCTTGGATGCTGGGAGCAGTTTGCCGCAGGACACGAGGATGGCCTCCGGCTGCAGATCTGGCAATGATCTGCAGCAGGGGTCCATCCCTGGCTCTGGAGGTGGTGGTACAGCTACACCTTTGGAGGTTGTGAATGACCTGAGAGCGGCAACCGATGGGGGCGAGGCCCCAGATACCGGTTTGCCCCCTGGAGCAGGCAACAACAGTTCAGAACTACCCGAAGGACCTTTGGAGAGTGCACGGCGAGCTGTAGGACAGATCTGGCAAGCGGTGCAGGTGGCAGCTGGACACCCTGCTATGGCTTCCCGACCTCCTATGAACGAAGGAGGAGAGTCTGGGGAAGTGGAAACGTATCTGAGTGCTGGCTGGGATGGGTCACGGGATGATTCGAGGTCTCCCTCTCCACCACGTGGGCCTCCCCCCGCTCCAGCCGAGGTGACGTTGCAGCAGCCACTGTTTCCACCTGAAGTCCTGAGCCAGATTGAGACGATGAATCGCGAGGCACCTTTGCTTTCTGGGTTTGGGAGTCCTGGAAGAGAAGCTGG